TAGTACTTGTATCATATACCCCAAAACCTGGCCACCCCAAAACCCTCGTCTATCATAGTCTCTTCTAGCATAAGGCCTCTATATACTTTCTATGGAGCAGGAATCCCCTACCCCTCGCTGCGATAGAGGCGTGCTACAGAGATTTCGGGTTTAGGGTTTATGCTCAGGGCTTGGGATTTAGGGTTTAGGCTTCAGGGTTTGGGGTTTAGGGTTTAGGGTCTATGCTTCAGGGTTTTTAGGATTCCAGAAGTTCGTACTTTCGTTGTACGCAGAAGGCACAGGCCTTCTGCTTAGATGCTAACGAAATCACGGGACCGACAGTCCTAAGGTTTAGGGTTTAGGGCTTAGGGTTTAGGGTTTAGGGTTGAGTGATACCTTGCTCCTGATTTTCACACCTCTTCATGCTAAGCCCCAAACCCAGACCCTACGCACGAAGCCCTAAACCCAAACTTAAGGAATCGCCGTTCACCTACCACGGTGGGTGGCGCTAAGCACAGCCCACTATAAGCCTGAATACGCAAACATACTATTCCGCACGGTAGCACAAACCAAATTAGTAAGGCCCCGATTGTAGGCAGACCCGCAATGTCGGGACGCCCGGTCTGCGAGGGCGAAGGGCGATTGGACAAGGGGCGACAAAGCCAGATTGCCTAAACCGTAAACTCTGAGACCAAGTCTTAAACCCTAAACTCCAAGCCTAAAGACCCCTAAGCCGTTACACCAAAGTCTTAAACCCTAGGCCCTAAGCCCTAAAACCCCTTAAGCCCTCACACCAAGTCTTAAACCTTAAGACCCTAAGCCTTCGTCCCTAAACCCGAAAACCAAGGCCTCTACGATGTTTCAGCCAAAGGACCAAAAACACCTCGGGCTCCGTATCCTCACTAGATTATACGGGAGCCCGGAGCCCTATTCTATTTATTCAGAAACCCTAAACCCTAGACCCAGACCCTAGACCCTAGACCCTAGACCCTAAACCCTAGACCCTAAACCCTAAACCCTAAACCCTATTTAGGCCCCTACATAAAGCCCGGAGCTGAGGCCTCGGTGGAAGTGCGCGGCTTTCGCGGGGCAGCACCCTGAATCGCTGGAATGGCTCTGAGATGGAGTTGAGCATGGAGGACTAGGCTTTAGGGTTTAGGTAGGGTTTAGGGTTTAGGGTTTAAGGTTTAGGGTTTAGGGTTTAGGGTTTAGGGTATAGGGAGGAGCAATTCTTCTGGGCTCTCTGTTTTCCAAAAGAGGGAGATTCAAGATGGCTCCTTTAACAAACAAGGTATTCTCTAGCAGGTTCCTGTGTTGTGGGGGCTTGAGGCTGTGAATGAGGCTTTTGGGATTGCTAGTTTAAAGGCTTAGGAACTGAGTGATTCAAGTCAGGGTCCTTGAGATAGAATCTTTTACAACTAGGATGGTATTCGTTTCTTTATCCCGTACCTATGTATTTACACATAAAGACGACATGGTATGCCACTTTATGCTCAAGGCCTCAGCGTATTGAACGCTTCTAACTTCATGTACATGTTCAAAGGCAAGAACATCCTAGAGACATCCCATAGAACCAGACGGGTGAAGCGCGGGCCCTTAAATATAAGCTCCAGCCCCAAAATCGAAGCTCCGGGTCCTTACTTTTAAGCTCCAAATCCTTATTTAACAAAAAGAAAGAGAAGAAGCTTCTGTGTGCTAGTTCCGACATACATATACCCCGTCGCAGCCTTTAAAAAAACCCTAAAGCCGGACAAGGTTGAGATGTGGGTGGGTGGGTTGGGCGAGCATTGAACGTCAGCACACGTCACAATACGCGCCATGTAGTGGCGTGTGCGGAGCCATGAACAAACCCTAAACCCTACTCCCTAAACCCTAAACCCTAATCGCTAAATCCTAAACCCTAAACCCTACACCCCCAACCTTAAACCCAACGGGTTATTGTAGAACCGACCACCAGGATGGCATTGCGGAGATTGTCGATGTGCAAGTCCTGACGTTAGCTTTTTGGGGCTTCCGGTGTAGTGGGGCATCGGGTTCAGGGTTTAGGGTTAAGGTTTAGGGATTCGGGTTTAGGGTTTAGGGTTTAGGGTGTGTCGACCAAATTTCCGTGGTACGTAGGTGTGTAGGTTTCTGGGGACCGAAGTTTCGCGATGTACGTCCGAGATCTTCAGAACGAAAGTGTTCCGTCATGGACGTGGGGCGCTAAATTACCCACCCGAGAAGCCACCCAGAGCTTCTGTAAAAACCTTAAGTTCTTAAGCGTACCAGAAAATGAACTTTCAATTTCACGGTTAGTTCGTAATGCTTAGCAGCTAGTAACTAGTACAAACGGAAGGTGGCCCTGACCCCTTGGGTGTACAGGGACGCCGGAGGGTTTAGAGCAGGCACACACAAAGAAGGGCGGTGTTTTGCTGCAGAATGTGGCCCCGACCCTTTTGGGCACACACGAGCACTCGAGGGTCCATATTTTGATCCGGGCTGCAAGGCTGACAGGGTTAGGGAATACAGGAAGCTCAAGAGTAGACACACACACACACAAAGAATGGGCATGACCTCGACATGGGCACTCGGCCTATTTAAAACGCACCTTCTACAAGCAGAATTTAGCACGCAAAAATCAAGTCAAATTTTCCGGATCGCAGGAGGGCGGGGGCCAAGGTCCCAGAGGGTTTAAAACAGGCACATACAAAGAACCGCGCTGTTTTGCTGCAGAACGTGGCCCCGACCCCTTGGGCACAGAAGGACCGCGGATGGTTTAAAGCATGCAGACACAAAAAACGGCTTTGTTTTGCTGCAGAATGTGGCCCCGACCCCTTTGGGCACACATGAGCATTTGAGTGTTGGGTTTAGGGCCTGGCAAGAACTGTCTATTATTATCGACAGTACTGTCAATACAGAGTTACTAAGGAATACTTGTATACAAACATGCACCTACCCGTAAATGGCTGTAGATATGTACCATAATGGGATTAGGGTTGACGGTTTAGGGCTTAGGGATTAGGGTTTGGGGTTCATGGTTTAGGGATTACGGTTTAGGGTATGGGGATTTAGAGTGGCTCTTCGTGGGGCTTGAAAGTCCGGAGGGTAGAGTGAAGCTGGCAGAGTTGCGTAATTCTAGCCCTAATTTTGATTACTTTGGATGCACATGGCACTAGGTATCGGCTGAACAACATTTTGTAAGATGTATAAAACAGATGTATAAGGTGCTTAGCATTACCCTTATGATAGACTGTTACTGTATGGGAGCAGTACCCAACTAAAAAACTTAAACCTAAACACTAAACCCTAATCCCGAAACCCGAGACCCTAAGCCCTACGCCCTAAGCCCTTAACCCTAAACCCGAGAGCATGAGATTGGCGACCTCCTTAAGCCCACAACCCTAAAGCCTGAAGCAGCTGACTACACCCCAAAACTCGAAGGCTTAGGGTCTCTGAGTTTCAGGATTTATGGTTCGGACTTAGCTTTCTTGGGGTCAAGGGTTTAGGGTTTCTAGTGAAGAAGGGACAGAGGCTTTTTTTAGGCTTATCGTGTCTACTGATCGGATTTCAAGAGTTTCGACTGTCGGGAAGCATGTGGAATTTGCTGCCGCTGTTCGCATCGTCAGCTCCAGTCGGATCTTAATCGCAGAGTGTCAACAACTTCGATGGCGGGGGGGTCTGCATAATTATGATTGAAATCGCCTTATACTCCCCTTTTAACATCGCTATGACGTGCATCGAAACCGCATTCTAGTTTTCAAAGGGGCGCCACAGCAGACAAAACAACTCCAATACCGCCTAGAAGCGATCGACTTTGGGTTAGTTTTGGGCAAAGGTCTTGAAGGTTACTAGAATGTTATTATACTATATCACGCTATATTATACTATGTTCTATTTTTTACAAATTATACCATATTATACTATATTATATTCTACTAGATTACACTAGATTATACTGCATGATACTACATTCATTATGTCATACTACATTATACTATATTACTACTTTTTTAGATAGGAAGATAATACACTATATTATACTCTCCGGTACTTCACTATATTACATGTTAGTATATTAAAACTTATTATATTGCAATAGGTTCTACTGTATTTTACTGTGTTCTGTTACATTATACCAGACTAAGAGATTGCATGGCTTTGAGGTGGCAGGCTCAAGCCCCTGGACCTGAAATCAAAGTTAAACCAATATACAGGCTTAAATAAGTACCAACACTATTTTGCAGGCTCCTTGCTATATCTGCATTATAATCGACCCCCCAAACCTTATAAGGCCCCCTTAGTACACACCATAACACAACTTCGGTTGAGCGGGGCGAGCCCCATGTCGAAATGGCGAGCTGGTTCTTTGAAGGCACCTGCAGCTTAGAACTGCTGGGTCCAAGCCATGTGGCGGATGTCATTGTCGCAAAGGAAGCCCTATACCCTAAGCTTGAAACAGGGTCTTGGTTTTTGATTTTGTGGGTTTTCAATTTCGGCTTCTGGACTACTTGGAGGTGTGGGCTCGGAGCTCGAACTGGTTCTGCTGTATTTTCACCGAAGGCTCAAAAATCGAAACCCTCAGCGTCGTAAGATCTGAAAACCAGCAAAACCCTTGTATAGCTCGTATACGCCTTCTAATCCGCAGAAACAGCCTGCACAAGGCTTTGTCACCAGCCTTTTCTATGTCTGTAGGTTCTAGGATTCAGCTGCCTCCTGGCACCCTAAAAAAATTACCCTCAGAGCCCCATAAACCCTTAATTAAGCAATATACCTTAAACTAAAAGGGGCTGAATATTATGATTTACGGTATATTCCTCGGTCAATTGGGCTCTCTGGGTCTCGTGCGCAGTGCTGGGCACTCCTGCGCAGTGCGACAGTGCCAGTCTTCGGGGAGGATTCTCTTTTTTTGCAGGGATCAGCATCTCTGCTTCCCTTCGTAAATGGATTGCCGTCGCAGCTTACCATCCCAGAACCCCAAACCCTCAAACGAAAACCCAAAGCCCACGTTTCCGCCGCCGCCTGGCTCAAATAGCTTTGGCAGCATGCTCCGCCGTAGTTTGGCATTGTTCCTGCTGGGATGGGCTGCGGCCAAGCGCATTCAACAGGACCGGCCCAATGTGATTACATAATCCGGGATGCGTAGTAAGGCCCATAAGCTGCTGGCAACAATGAGGGGTTTCAGATTTGCTGTAGGGCTTTAGCAGGGTTGGTGGTCTAGTGTAATCATTTTTGCCACGAAGTCACAGAGGCCGATGCGTCTGCGAACTCCTTGGGAACACTTACATCAGATCCTGATTGCATCACGACCGACAATGTGACTGAGCTCTTGTTAAGGAAGTTTGTTTAAGTACGCCAGCTTGGGATAAGATTGTAGATACTGTGGTTTTGGCTTGGGGTTTAGGGTTTAGGGAGTTAGATAGTAGATACTATGGTTTTGGTGATGGTTACTTAATCCAAACTTCTTACTGCCCTAAGCCTTAAACCTGAACCTTCAACCCTTAACCCTCAACCGTCAAGGTGACGATACCAACGGTTCAGGAGGCCGAATCTCTGAAAGATGTTCCTGGGCTTAGAGTTTGTTTTGGCTGAAGCTCGGATCTGCTTTTGGGTTTATGTAGAGGTTACGGTTCAAATCTTCACTCCCTCTAGATGAGCTCATGAGCTTAAGAAATGCTTACGCAATCCGTGAATGGGCCCAAGAGGGCTACAGAGAGCAATAAGCTTTCGGCGCTTAGGGGATGCTGCGAGTGTAGGGTCCAACTGGGATGCCATCCCTAAACCTTCATGTGCACCATACTGAAGCCTCGTCTTTGGTTTTTGAAGGTTAGAGGTTTTAGGTTTTGTTTTTTAATGGTGGGGTTTAGGGTTTAAAGTCTAGAAGTTTCGAGTGCAGCGTCCAGGATCCGGGGTCTCGGCTTAGGTCTTTGGCGTTGTTTGCCAGGCTTGGGATCCTAGCCCCAAATAAGGCTCTCGCCAAGCTCCACCAGTCATCTGCCGGTGACCTTTATGGTATCGGTCCTGCAGAAGAGCCCATTGCATCTCTCGCAATTCGCTTCGCTATGTTGGCGTATGGTCGCAACGATGGCCACGGCTCCCCGGTAATCGATTTTGCAGGCTAAAGCAAAGCTTTAATCTTTCGGTCTAATCGTTCGCTTTTACATATAAAACCTGACATTCCACAACCTGGACAGCTAAGGTTATTCTGTTCGGGCTTTCACTTTTGGGAACGACACGGAAATCTCAATGCTCGTGTTCCAGTTTAAGAGTTGGTTTCATACCAATGGCAGTACTGATGATGCCGCACATCTGGTGGCATACTTGGTCAAAGTTAAAGGTGGGGTGGGTGTAGTTCTCAGTTACAAAGGATCCACGAACAGGAAAGACTGGCAAGCAAACCTGGACAGTAAGCCGGACCCCTTGTTCCGCGACAGTCCTCTAAATCTTTTGCAGCCTCGCGACAGTGTGCTTCCAAATATTTTCAAGCATGCGCATGTGGAAGTTCATCATGGCTTCAAATGGCATAAAGCCTCCCTGGACTGGCGCATGGGCTTGTTCATGATGGAGCCAGTGACGAAGATATTGACCTCGTGGGGTGTCCCAGAAAGTGCGCTCCACCGCCCCTTCAAAGAGTTTCTTTACTCTGGTACTTTGGCTCTTTTATGGCAAACGACTCGCCAAGTTTGCGTTAAAAGTTATAAGGATGTGAAGCTGTTGCGCGTCTCTTTGCATGACAAGAGAAGAGCTTCTTTTCAGCCAGGTGCGTGGAAGTGGTGCATAAGCATCGGACATAGCTTGGGTGGTGCAATGTCCTCTATGGCTGCTTTGGACATTGCTGTTGACAGCGGGAGCTCACAGGCAGATGGGGTGGTGTTTGTGCAGATGGTGAGGGCGCTTAGGATGTGTGCTGTCGGTCAGGTTTTGTTGATTTGCTTGGTTTGTGGTGTCAGTGGAAGCGAAATTTCGTGAGGTGCTCGTATGCAGCTTAGCCGTGCCGTACCACGATTTTACGACCTTTCTTTAATAAGGCTGGGGACCATGAGTTCAAGTTCAGGGTCTGCGAGGAATTCTGGTTTGGATTTGCTTGTTGTGGCTTGAGGATCGAGTTTCATCTTATCCACAACCCCCTCCTACTACTACTACTACTACTACTACTACTACTAACTACTACTACCACTACTACTACTACTACACCACTACTACTACTACTACTACTATTACTACTACTACTACTACTACTACAACTACACTA